CCTCTCCATGCTGTAGCTTTTGCCCCCACCCCTCAGTCTCCCATTGTTAAAGTGGTCTCAATGCACAGAGCTCATTTTCATAACTACGTAAAGCCTGCCAGGCTGAACAAAGGGCTGAATAGCAGCCACTGTTGGATTTAAGAATCAAGGCGCCAGTGAAGGACAGGATTTGAATGCTAATGCCCGGACTCATCTTTACTTACAGTTTGAGTGTGACAATAAATCGAGACACAAAGGACAGAAGTGGACAGTAATTCTCGCCGTCTCGCCGTTAACCTTGTTGAAATGTAATTAGGCTTTTTTTTGGTGTGTGGTTGCAGGAGGCGGACCGTCTGGAGCAGCTCCAGAGCAAACTGCACTCCTACATGACGTTCGGGCTCCCCAAGGTGCCGCAGCAGCTCTCCTTCAACCAGGACTCCTGGGAGGAGGAGGAGGAGGAGCAGGAGACCAACCTGGTGCTGGAGGACAGCTGGCAGATGCTGCTGGACGACTCCGAGGTGAAAACACACACAGGCTGGGGGGGTTGGGGGGGTTGTGTAAAGACACTGGAATATAATGTCAAATGAAAAAGGAATTGAGCTAGAAACCAAATTTAGATTAAAAAAATATTTATGTTCTTTAATTCCATAAAACTTGACGTGCCTTTTTTTCAAAATATTAATTGTGAATTAGGACAAATAGCTTTTAGCTTAAAGATGCCACAATACCATTTCCTTTTCATTTGATCCTTTGATCCTTGAACTGAAAAAATGCTACTGTTCTGGTTCATAAGAAAAAACTGTTTTTGAAGCGTTATGCAAAACACCAAAACAATATTATTTTCGATACACTCAATACTAAGAGGACTTTTTTCCTAGTCTGGTTGAGTTTCAATGATAAGGATCACTTTTATTGTATTTAATTTATATTAATTTAATATAACTGTTGAGCAGGCTATCAGTAAAACAGCATGTTTTCCCGCCATAGGTCAAACATCAAAAAGGTCTAAATCTGGTGGAAAAAAAGGGGCATAGCTTACAAAATAAAATGTTATACTTAAACCTTAATGTTTAAATCTCCTTTGCATTTGATCCTTTTTATAGTAAATGTCATAGGAAACAAAAAGAAACCTTGTAATTGCCATTTAATATCACTTTGTGGTGATTCAGTCAGCTGCTCACCTGCAGTACAGGTATGCTGACTTCCTGTTTCCCGGCATGCTCCTGACTCTCACTTCCTCATCGTGTGTCTCACTCCCACCTGATGCCTGTTTTCCCGGAATGATGCTTACAAAGCGATTTATGGTTTCACTGCTGTCGGTGAGCCCTACATGCCAAAGTCAATTATATCATCGCACGCTGTCCACCTGTTAATGTTTAATCAGAAAGACGCTCAGCTGCTGCTGCTGCTCGCTCCCATAATGTACATTCACCCCAAAGTTACACAAGCCACGACACTAACAAGATAATGAGAGTTACTGGAAAACATCAGAACCAGTTACTCTGGTGTCTGAGAGCGTGAAGGAAGGACTGAATCCTTGTATTCATGTGACTAATCCTATGACTCAACAACAACAGCGTCAGCACACTTCGTTGACATCATACAAATATGAAAAGCGTGCATACAAACAATGGAAATGAAATACATCGATACAAACACGATATATTCACACGAAAAACATCATGTATGACTCACTGTCAGTTTAAACATTTACTTTTCGATCAGGCTTTTAGCTTTCTCATAGAGGTAGTAATACGTCAGCAAGCACAAAGATTAAAGGGGCCCTAATATGCTCCTTTTCAGGTTCATATGTGTATTTTGTGGCCCTACTGAGACGTATCTCCCTGCTTTAATGTTGATAAAGCTCTTTAATGTTCTACTTTATACTTTGAACTTTGGGATTGTAGCCTTTGCAGACCATTGACATGCACAGAAACCTATATAATACACTACAAGAAAGAGAAAACCCCCAAAAGGCATAATTAGGCCTCTCAAATCGAATGATATCTAAATAAAAAAATCATATTTTCAGCCAAAGTATATGTGTTAAACAGATTTTAGTAGTATTGTAGGTAAAGGGTAACAGGAACTGGGTTTGTTGTGTAATGGTTGCCTACTCAAACACAGAGAGTGATTAAGTTGTAAATGTTACGAGGCGTTGTTCCACCGGGTGCCCTTTATAACATCCTCTATTTAAAAGGCAAACGAGACATCACAAGTTGAAGAAGAATATGTCAATGTTTATTTTATTTATAACAATCTGATGTGTGTTTGTTTTTATAGACCATCCTGTATTTAAAGCCTAGGCAAAGGAGACATCACTAGTAATAACAATGTAATGCAATAAGATGAAGAATCTGTCAATGTTTCTGTTATATTTAATAAGATGTTTGTGTTTCCAGACGTTGACCCGGCGGCAGTTCCACCAGCAGGAGGCGATCTGGGAGCTGCTGCAGACCGAGGCGACCTACATAAAGAAACTCCGAGTCATCACTGATGTAAGGAACTACTGTACAGACCACTGATACTGTATGGATGTGTTGCAACGGGCTCCTGTACCCACAGAGATAACACACACAGTGATTCTCTTGTTAGGAACACGGCCCCTTATCAGCACTCAGTGAGCCTTAGAGAAAGACCTTAATCCTGTGATGTGTTGAGTGATAACCTTCTGCTTTGAAGACTTAGTCGGCTTAAGCTTTATGCTTAATGCTATAGTATAGGACAAAAATGTCTGCTTTAAAAAAAAATGTATGATGATATTATTTGGCACTTTCATCAGTCACATTTTTAATCAACTTCAGCCCCGGACAAAATCCCAAATGGAAAGAATATGTGCCATCTGGTGAAAGGTTATACAAAATACAAATTGAAATCCTCTAGAACAGGGGGGTCAAACTCAAATACACAGTGGGCCAAAATACAAACATCGGTACTAGTCGAGGGCCGGACTTATTGAAATTAACTTATTGCAAATATTTAACCTGGAACTAACAAAGCTTAAATTGTTGAAATGTACATAAGAGAAATTAAGATACTAGAAATAAACAGTCCAAAATATTTCTGAAATGAAATGGCATTAAAAAGTGAAAAAAATAGACCGTACTATAGAAGCTGAGGTTGAAATTCCAAGATTAAAAAACAACTACAAAAATACTTTAACCTTTTGAAAACATGTGCCTTAAGCATTGACACAGCAAAAATGAAAGAAAAAATGAAAAGCCAATAAACATTATTTTAAAACTCAAAATCTTCTGTGTGCCCTCCCCAGCTGTTCCTGTGTGGGCTGCTGAACCTGCAGGACAGCGGGCTGCTGACGGAGGTGGAGCCCACCAAGCTGTTCAGCAACATCCAGGAGCTCGTGGTTCTGCACACCGCCCTGTGGAACTCCGTCATGCTGCCCGTCCTGCAGAAAGCCCGGCAGAACCGCGCGCTGCTGGACCCCTCAGACCTGCACCAGGGCTTCCAGACGGTCAGTACACACCACACTGTGATATTATACTTACTTATTATACTTATACTGTCTGTTATGTGGGATTGCAACATCAGGAATGCTTGGAATTTCGCGGTACTCAGTGTAGTGACAATAAAAGGAATCTTAATCTTTACATAGTAACAATATATTCCAATACCTACATAAACAAAGGGTTATCAGGACACCGTGAACCTGTGGACTTTACCACACAGCACTGATTAGTTCAGGCTAATCAGGTTAATGGGCCATTTAACAAGCTGATTCATTTCTGTTCTAAAGGTCTTAGTAAAACCCAGGAACCTCGATCAAATCTACAGAATGTTTTGAGTTTGGTTTATAATCTGTGTCTTGGATATTATGGATAAAACTCTCAATAACTTAAAACCAAAGAAAGGCAACAAACAGGTTATCTGACAAGTCAAAAATATGACTTAATTCATCAATAAAATGTGCTATTGAAACCTAATAGTTTCCATATACCTTCAATCCTTTTGGTACGAAAACGATCAGTTGATAAATTGAATTGTAGTTTATCAATCTCTTAGTAGCTCATTTGGATTTGCATCTATTCTTTTAGACCTTTTACTGAACGAATATCTGGACTGTATTATCCATGACATTGTGTTCTTTTTGATGTGAAAGTAAATAGTTATTTCTCGGAAAAAGTGAAGTGTTTGCTCTACCAGCTTGTTCAAGTCCGAGGAAGTCCCCCCTTTTCTTAATCAACCGATTGAAGGTTACGGGAAAAGTACTTTTCTGAAAATCTCTTTTCACATTCCCTTTTGCTTATTCAAGCTGATGTTTATCACACTTTTTATTGCAGTAATTGTCTTCACTTGCGTAAATAAGATATGAAGAAGGAAGTACTTTAATAGGCCAGCACCTCCAATACCCATTATATTTGAACACTAAAAATCATTTCTGGATTGTTTTATAAACGTTTTACTTACAAATATAATGCAATGTTGACGTTAGACTGATGCATAATTGAATATGTTTCCCTCAGGAGGATGTGAGTAATATTTCTCATGCATGTTTTTGTTTGTTTGTTTGTTTCAGTTTGGCTCCAGGTTCCAGCCGTACATCCGGTACTGCATGGAGGAGGAGGGCATCATGGAGAACATGCGCACGCTGCTGCGGGACAACGATCTGTTCAGGACCTACGTCACGGTCAGTCCTCCACTTTTCTACATAAACATGTGGTGTGTCAGGGAACTCTCGCAGCGTCAGAAAATAAAACCCTCTCTCTTTTCCTCCGTACCCAAATCTCTAAAAAACGGGGGTACAACGGAGCGGATCCAGATTTGCGTCTGATATGACGTAATATTTGAAATGTGGACCCAGGCCCTATCAGAAACGTTGCTATCAGAAACATCGCCCCGACTGTTTTGGACATAATATGGGTCGGTGTTTACATTAGCATCGCTAACACTCAGAGCTAAACCTGTAGTGGAGACGCATGTGTGTGAAGAAGCAGGG